CGTGCTGGGCCTGCCAGCTTCCCAGATCTTCATTGTGGGCCGGCCCACCAAGAAGTACCAAACCCAGTGCCAGGTGGGTGGAGGCCAGGCTGGGGGCTGAGGGCTGGCGGCCAGGGAAAGGGTTGTAGAAGAGTAGGCAATTCATTTATTGGTTCATTCAGTCACTTATTTGCCCATTCATTCATTCATTCATTCATTCATCAAATACAGTGCTAGGCCCCTGCCTTGGATCAGGCTCTGTGTTAGATGAGGGGAGAGCCCTCGGTTGTCAGATGTGATATCATCTAGTCTAGTAGGGGAGGCAGGAACATCTGCAGAGTGTGACAGTGTAGTGTGGCGAGTGCCATGGTAGATGACAGGCAGACAGAACTCTGGAGAGGAGCAGCTAACCCAGACTCCAAGGCATGGCTGACTTTCCAATTTTGAAGGAAGGGACTGAGGTTGGGAGCAGCATTCATTTGTGGCAGAGGCAGCAGCAAAAGCCAAGGTCAGGAAGCAGCAGAGGAACATGTATATCCTGGGACCTGCCAGTGACTCAGCTTGGTACAGGCAGGGAGGGGACAGGGCGTTGGGGCGGGAGGTACATCAACGTGGCCTGTGTCTTGCCAAGCTCAGTCAGTCGCCGGCGCCAGAGTGAGGGGTAGGGAGGAAAGATCCCTCAGGCTGCACAGGGCCCTCGGAGAAGCCGAGAAGCCGGTGACTCTCTAGTCGGGGTCCCTGGGAGGCGGTTATGTTGGGGGACAGGATCCAGAGTAGGTATCTGCTCTCCTTGCTGGCCTCACACCCGTCTCGTCCGTAGTTCCTGAGCGAAGGCTACGCCGCGCACTTGGCCACGCTGGAGGCCAGCCACCGCTCGCGCCCCAAGAAGAACAACTCGCGCATGATCCTGCGCAAGGGCAGCTTTGGGCTCCACGTGCAGCCGGAGTTCCTGCGCAAGCGCAACCACCTGCGCAGGACCCTGTCGGTGCAGCAGCCAGATCCGCCGGCCGTCAACCCCAAGCCCGAGCGGGCCCAGAGCCAGCCGGAGTCGGACAAGGACCATGAGCGGTCGCTGCCCGCGCTCAGCTGGGCTCGAGGGGCCCCCAAATTCGAGTCGGTGCCCTGAGAGGCGAGCGGTACTCAGAGCAGGGGGACAACCAGGCCGCCTGCAGGGAAGGGAGGGCTGCCTTCTCCCCGACACAGGCGTTTTCCTGCTTTTTCCCTCCCATGTCTGTCCAGCCATGTCCGACCAGAGCGGGGAGGGACCCTGCTGGCCTTGGGGGGAGCTCCTGGGGCTGCGACAGGGTGAAATCCGGGGGTCTCAGAGCCGCTGCCGCTGCTGCCTCCCCACGCAGGGACGGCGAGCCCTAGTCAGGGCTGACATTTGTGTCATCCTGGGGACAGGCCTGCTGGAGCCCAGTGTTCTAGCAGCGTCGACCCTCTTACTGAGTCCCCAGGTTTCTGCGGCCAGGCTAGGCGAGCTCTACGTGGAGAAGCCCCCAGCCCAGGGACCAACAGCTGCTGGCAGGTGCTGCCTCTTGGCTGTCTTGCGGAGGAACGAGTGGCATTTGTGCCCGCCCTCCTTGTGATACCCCTAGTCACCACTTTGGGGCTCTCTTATGGCAAAGTGGTCACTTTCTGGAAGTGAGAGGACATCTCCTGCGTCCATCCTGGTATGCGGTGTCTGTCTACAGCCCTGGAAGCTGGGTCTGGTGCTGACGGTCTGTCCTCCTGCAGCTGTCCTTTGTCCCTCACTCTTGTCCTCAGTATCCTCACCATTCTCCGGTGGCCCTTGAGAACAGGTGTCCCTCTTCCAGGATCTCTGCTTTGTGGTCCTCCCCCGTGAGGCTGCAGTCTTGGGTTCTGGCCCACCTGGGCTGGCTGTGCCCTTGAGTCTGTTGCTTACCATCTCTGGACCTGGCCTTCCTTCTGTAAATTGGAGGAGGTCCACCCCCTAGCTGAGATGGGTGCAAGTTTTTGACTCATGGGCTGTGCTGAACTTCTGACCTTGAGATTTTTCAGCGTGCATGTCATGTGCCCCTTGCACACAGCCTCACTGAAGGGTTCTGGGTGGGCTCGAGGGAGGAGCTCTTGGCGCAGCACCCCAGAGGAAGCCTCTTCTGTGGAGAGCCCCAGCAGGCTTGCTTTGCACTGACACCCAAATGGGGTGTCCCAGGGACAGGAATCCCCTGAAGAGTAGCGATCTGGCCCTCCCACCCACAGCTCTGCTCAGACCTGTTTCTCTGTTGGTTTCTGGAAGGCACAGAGTTGACATAGGGTTCTGGGGGCTTCATGGAATTTTGGCCCAAATTGTTGTATTCCTTCCCTTCCAGCTACTACTTAGCTTGGTTTGAGCCTCTAACCTTCCCTGGGTCATCTCCCTGAGGGTGCAGGGCTTGGCTCTTGGCGGGGGGGCCCTCAAAGTCTGTCCAGGTCCTCCTGCTACTGAGCTCCTGGCCCAGGCATGGTGTCCTGCACCTGCCTCCGCTCCCTGCCCAGGCTGCTGTGGTGGGGCTGCCTGAAGCTGCCTCTGTGCCCCCCCGGGCTGCCACTGAGGCCAGCCCCAGCTCTGTCAGCCAGGCTGCCCAGGGCCCAGACATCTGTATACACAGCAGGCACCTGTGTGAGCTCAGTGTCGCTTCTGCTCAATGTCTACCTCTTGCAGCTCCCCTGCAGCCCATGGTGGCTGCCCCTGGGGGGTAGTTGGCACCATTGTTGTGAATCGCCTTGGCAACCTGGGCACCCTGCTGGGGCTGGAGGGGTCTGGGCTCTAAGCCCCAGCCCTGTGCCTTCTCCAGCCTGCCAGCTACTGCCACCTTTGCCCAACCCATCTGCCAGCCCTTGTAATCCCCTTTCAGCACTGCATCCTGTGTCTAAGCCCCATGAGGCTGCCAGGGGCAGGGGCTCGGCCTTCGCTTCCTCTCCGGTCCTGCCTCCGGCAGGCAGTTTGCACAGGTTCATCTCCCTGTAACACGGCATAGTTCTTGGCTCCCTCTTCGTACCAGCTCATACAGCATAGCCACTTCGTTCCTAACCCTGTCTACTCCTTCCCCCAAAATATCTTGATTTAAACTTGAGCAGAGTTATCTTCTAATTTTCGGACACTCCATCGTTTCCTTTTTGCAGGAGTCGCTGATGTGTCACTTTCAAATGATGAAATAATTAGCATGAGATCCTTTCCCCTAGTTAGATTCCCTCCTCCCTTTCTGAGAACCCCCGGCTGGGGAGTGCGGTGGGTGGGAGTGAGAGCACCCACTTGTGAGCTGGGGTCCCCAGGGAGTTGGGAGTAAGTGACCAGGGCTCTGTGTTTCTGGGGGTTAGAACTGAGACACAGGACCTGGCAGGAGGGCTACCACCCCTTCCTTTGCTGGAACCCCATATTGGGACTTTGGCGACTCCCACACAAGACGCTCGCAGTGTACAGGGATATAGTATGAACACAACACCCTCGGAGCTGTAGTTGGTGTGTGTGAATGTGTGTACTTGCGGTTCTGTTTAGTGATGAGACTGCTTATGTCTCAGTATTGCCTTTTCAGCAACTGTGTCCCCAACACGCACGTTCTGTACTAGTAGTGTGTTCAGTTTTGTCTGTCAAGTCAGACACAAAAAGAACTGCATCCTTGTCCTCTGGAGAGGGTGCTGCAGCCTCTCTTCCAGTAGTTCTGTGAGCCCCAATCCAGCTGTTTTTAGACTCCTTCTAGCTCCTGGTGCCTGCTATCCAGCAGCTGGAAAACAGGTCTTCCTGCCTGACCACAGCTCCTTGTTTCTCCCATGGCATGTTTGTTCTTCCCACACAGTGGCTGTGCTGGGTGAGGGCCTGCCCGCTGCCTGCCTTCCTCTATTACTTGCCCTCTTGGGGGTTCAGGGTGCATCTTTTGCCAGGGCCTGCTTTTGCAGCATCATGGTTTTCCCCCTAAAGATCTTGACTCCTCTTGAAAGCGCCACAAAGTATTAAAAAAAAAAAAAAAAAAGGTTCTTTTGTGTGTTTGGATGAATGGCCTTCCTGTCTAGGTGCTGGCTACAGCAGCTCTGTCTGAACCCCAGTAGGAGTATTATTTGGGGTGGCTCTCTGAAGGAGGGGAGGCAGGATCCTAGGGTTTTTAAACTGTACTTTTTTTCACTTTGAAGCCCAGATCTGTGCCCCACAAGTGTCCTGCCGACAAAACACCCACCAATCTTTAAATGAAATCAGATTCCTCCTGAGGCAGGTGGACCTGGTCCAGAGGTGGCACCAGTTTTCAGCTGGTTCGGGTGCAGCCCTGCCTAGGAGGGGAGCCTGGACTGGGAAGGAGCCTGGCAGTGGACCCCGCCTTAAACAACCAACTTTCCAGCCGAATCCCAGGGGGTTTTCGTGCCAAGTGCTCTGGAAACCTATTTTCTTTGGCTCAGTCAAAAACTCCCATGCATCCTTATAGGCTTGGGGGAATTTTCAACATCTGAGTTAGGGTTCAGTCCAAGCAATGAAGCCTGGCTGAGTTCTGCTGTCCTTGCTGAGAAACCAACAGGTTATTTGACAGGATAATCACGAGTTCAACTTCACTCTCTTTGGGACACAGGAGAGGCAGGTGACACCAAGGAGGGACAGGCCAGAGAAGGGCGGCTCATGCATGGGGACCCCCACCTTCGGACCCCGCTGTCCGTTTCTGTTTGTTTACTCAGTGGTGGCAGCCAGTCTGCCCTTGTCTGTGGTCTGACTGTTTCTAAGTGTGTAACTTTCAGTATTCTCTGTGATGGGTGATTCTGTGCTGGAAAAGGTTTATTATATTCCTATGGCTGCCTTGTACAAAATCCGTTAGAAAGAAGATGTAAAATATCAGATTTCTAACAAGACAAAAACAGCATTATGGAGTTAAAAGGTTTTTACAACTGGTCTTGATTTTGATGTGAGCTGGTTTTTAACTCTCAAACATTGTCACTTAAATAAAAACCTTATTTGCCTTTAAAATGTTCTTTGCTTTGGACTAAGTTGAAAAAGCTTTCTTTTTACTCCTGCTCTAGGGATGGGGAGCAGGCAGGCTGGAAGCCGAGGGGATTAGGGGCAAAGCCAGACCCTAAACATATGGCCCAAAGCAGTGCCAGGCAGGGGGGTGGGGCAATATGTAAAAAGGAATAAGTCTTTATTATTAAAATGCAATGTGATTTAGGAAACTGGTACACAGGGTTCTTCATAATACAATGGTAAAGCAGATTTCTTAAATACTTTACAAAGGGCAGAACTGCTCTCGAGTGGAACTCCCCCTCTCTGCATGCCCAGGGTCCTGTGCCAAGCTTATAAATAGGCACCCATGAGCCCAGGGTTGCAGAACCTGGAGGTATCTCCTTTCCCTTCCTCCAGGGCCCTGGTGGGAGAAGTAGGATGGAACTAGGTCCCCAAGAACCTCTGCCTTGGAAATATAGCTGGGAAGTCTAGACATGACTCCCCAAAGACTCTGCCTTCCCACTGTGAACAGGGCAACCACAAGCCTTGACTGTGGGTCGAGGTCCTAAGCCCAAGAGTCCCCCAAGGGAGTAAGGGTAACTCCCCAACTCTCGAAGGTCTCCCCAAGTCACTCCTAGGCTGTGGCAGATGGTCACCGATGAGCCCAGATGTGGCTGAAGCAGAAGAATGCTGGGCTCCTTGTTAATCAGGTCCTTGTTAGTGGCGGTCAGGGGAGCTGATGGCTCTGGTTCTCCTCCCAGGAAGCTCTAGGGCAAGCGACAAAGGTATCCTGGGTATGAGGGCTTGGTGGCCAGACAAGACTTGTTTTCTGCAAAACAGAGCTTACTTTATATCCACTGCCGAACTCAGGGAAGGGGAACTGGGCACCCTAGCACTTTCTCAACTGGCTGGAAAGTGCCTCTAGGTTCTTGGGGCACCCAGCATGGTCAGTGAGTGATGGGGCCAATGAGGTTAGCAGCTTTGGCTCCAAGCAGGTAGCAAGACTCTTAGACTTCCTGTTCTGCTGGGCCCACCCACTCTCTGGGTTTTTCCCAAAGAGACTCATTTCTTTAACATGCTCATGAATGCGGGGTGGGGTGGGAAGAGGAGATGAGAAACCTGCTGGGGAGGAGGGCATTAACTGCAGGGCCTGTCCTCAGTCAGAAATGAGGGTGACGGTCATATCAGCACTAGGGATGGAGAAGAGGGAGGAATGGATACTGCTGAGTGCTGCAGGCTGTAAGGAGACCACCCCCCCCCCCCGCCCCCCAACTGGACCACAAGGCCAGAACCTGGAATATGGTGGGGGCAGGGCCACTCTGCAGAGTCAGGGCTGGTAGGGCCTACCTAAGAGCCTGCTGTGACTATTATATAAATGCAGAAATAAACATCCTGAGTTAGTGAGGATTCAGAACTGAGGTTCAGTCCTCAGAAGGGGGTTCTGGGCACCTATACCAGGATCTCCATAGCAGCCACATAACTCTTCCAATTCCCCATGCAGGCAGGGCACAGAGGATCCATGGAGAGTATTGTAGGAAGGGTAGGCCTTTCAGAGTCAGGCACCCACTCACACATGAAGTTCCAGATGACTGAAAAAGGTGGGGACCCAAGACCTGGAGGACCATGTACGATCAGGGTACATCCTTTACCTTTGCCCCAAACCAGGTCTTTCATCCCCTCTCATGTTTGCAGCAAGGAAACTGAGGCCCAGAGAGGGGCAGGGACTAGCCAGGGTTGCATAGCAGGTCAAAGCCAGAACCACAGCCTGCCTACAAAGATGGCGTAGCTCAGTGAGCTCCCTCGCCACCCCCCCTCCCCCCACTTCACTCTGAAGCATTGGACACCAACTCACTTGTCTTCAGCCACGATGGCCTTGTCCAGCTTTTGGGACGGCTTCTGGAGATGCTGGATTCCTGCTCCCACAGGCTCGAGATCACTCTCAGACTCACTGGATACAAGAAAGCCAGTAGGGGCTAGCTGGGGACCTGACAGGATCCCATTCCAACCCAGCACCAGGACCTCATCTGTGTGTCCAGATGGCCCTGGGAGCTGGGGCTACCTCACCACAGATTCCTGCTCAGTGACGTGACACCAAGGCCCATGGGGCCAAGGCAGTGAGCCTGCTGTTCCCCACCTGCAAGCTGGGTCTCTGCCGCCCTGATGTCCTCAGCAGCAGGCTTAGGTGAGTGAGACCCAGGCAGATCTAAGCTTATCCCTTTCTTTTGCAGGTGGGGAAAATGAGCCCCTGAAGGGTTTTCTCAGATCCCCCACCAGGTCTGAGGGCAGAGCTGAGCTAGAACACAGATGTGACTCAGTTCAGGGTCCCCTGGCTTCAGGAAGCCGCAGGAGGTTCTCAGAAGCCCTGGGGCCCAGTTAGCATTTGAGTGGGCACACATGGGATGAAAACCCACTGGGTCTGGGGAGAGACACCACACTACTTGCCTGGGAGAGCAGAGGGGCTCTGTCAAGGAGTAGGGATTCTGGAAGGCAGCATTCCTCCTCGGCCGCCGTCGGGGGTGAGAACGTGGGTCCTTCTGGGCAGAGAGGCGGTGATACTCCCTCTTGCCAGGGTCTAGAGTGGCTCCACACAGCCGGGTGCTCTTCTGACTTAGGGTGGGAGGTGGGGAGCCACTGCCCTTCTGTGCCCCTCTCTTCCTCCTTCTGGCTTTCACCTGAGTTTCCACCAGCCACTTGGTACCACTCTGGCAGGATTCCTGGATTCTCTGTGATACAATCACAGGTTAGCACAGACAGAACCAAGGGCTCTAGGCATCCCTCCAACCCACCAGCTTCCCATGAATAGTGCCTGCTCTAGGTCATAAGGGGGAAGGGCGCAATGACTCCGTGTGGGACTGCGGGCCAGTACAGGGACTCAGCTCAGAGTTTCAGGATGGACCACAGCAGTCGGCAGCAGGAAGGCCACTCTGCCTCACAGAGCCTCTGTCCAAGTCCAAACCCTCTTCCCAGGTGGAGACTGACTCAGGACTCAAGAAGGCCCAGAGAAGAACAGGCACAGCTCCTGGGTACCAGGAGGTCATTGCCTCCCTGCTTCTGTTCCCATGGCCCTTCATTCCACCCCACACTGGTCTTCAGAGATCCTTTTGGGGATGTTTTGATCCTGACTCTGAACTTCTCAGAATCCTTCCATGGCTCTTTAGTCTTAGAAGACTAAGACCTAACTCTTGGGCCTTTTAGACCACTATGGTGACAGTGACTGTGCTAGACTGTCTTTGCCTTAGTGAACCAGAGTCCAGAGCAAGGCCCCAGATAAGTAGGATAAGTTGTGTGGCTGTGGACAAGACATTTCATTTCATTTCTCTGAGCCTTAAGGAGGTGAAACCAAGCATGTGTTCCACCAGACAAGGTCTAGTGTTTGGCTGGGAGACTTCTCTACAAAGGTTGTAGAACAGCAGCTCTCTCCCTGCATCTTAAGGATTCGCAGGAAGGTGCCAAGGAGAAGCCCCCCCCCCCAAGTCTATTCATTCCCATGGCTTTGTCCTTTCCAAGCTTCCCCTATCCTTAGCTCCATCTCCAGATTTAAAGACATATCAGCTTGGAAGGCCCATGGGCACCGCATACTCCACATCACGATGCCTTCCTGGGGCATATCTCCTTGACACACAGTCCCCCAAACTGCTGGATCTCAGAGCAGCTCTTGAAGTCACCCTTAGGCACACATCTGCTCCCCTCCTTTTCCCATCAAGTGGCTAACGAGCAAGAATACTTATACGCTAATCTGACCAGCTTTAGGGGCTGCGTGTGTGGCTCAGTGGTAGCACCCCTGCCTGGCCTTTGTGAGGCCCTGGGTTTCTTCCAGTACCTGGCTGCTCTGGGAGTCTAAACTCCTTCAGGGCGCTGGATCTTCCCTCTCCTAGCTCCACCTTGCTCTGCCTTCTGGGTACACCCAGACTAAGTTCTAGCCCTTTCTCTTCCACACCTTTTTTTTTTTTTTTTTTTTTTTTTGTGCTATCCTAAGTCTGGGTGCACATGATTTCACCTGTCCCATCCTGGGTAAACTCTGGGGAGTCACCTACTCTGGTAAGTCTTACCCAACTAAGCTTGAGTTTGGTGTCCCCTTTCATTAGCCATTTGCTTGCCTATCACAATGAAGCTCTCATCACCTTCTATCTTAAACATCAATTTCTTTAGTGACAATTATTTATGGAATGCCTGTTAAAAGCCAGGAACTATTTGGGGGTGCTGAGAAAGCAGCAACGAACAAGTCAAAGTCCCAGTCATCACGGAGTCTGTATTCTCGGGGTCTCCCTGAGGGTAGGAACTATGGACACCAAGGACACCCTCCATAGATAGTTGGTAGTCATTTTTACCTGGGACACGACACCCAAGGCGTTCTTGGCTGAGCGTGCCGCAGCCTGGAGGCCCTGCTGCTGTGGCTCTGGGGTTTGCAGGCGCTTCCAGGAGGGCCCGGCCCCGAGGTTGAGGCTGACAGCCCTCAGGGGCAGTCTTCGCTGGAACTGTCTACACAGGGAGCCCAGGGCCCCGGTGGACGGCTCCACGTGACCGGCTGCAGACCACACCACCTCTTCTTCCATCTGCTCCTCCTTCAGGAGAGATCGGCGGCGCACCGAGGATCGCATGCCATGCCACTGAGATGCCATCGGTTTGGCCCAGTCTTATCTGCCCGCTAGAACCTGGGGAGGTCAAAGGCAGGTCATCAAGGCATCCTCTACTCCCATCTGGGCTCTACAGAAGCCGTGGGGACGGGGGAAGATATGGGATGAAGGCCCGTGGGGTGGGGCGCTTGGACGATTGTGGGTACCAGAAGGAGGCTGCTTCCCGGAGGAAGAGTCAAATTCCTGCTCTCCCACGCTGCAAGTTTCCAAAACAGCTGTCTTTTCATCCCAGCCTCCTTTTCGGAGTATGGGTGGGTGGGGGAGGCAGGGTTTCACCGGGCCTCAGCACTAGATCCAGGCTGTAATCCGCAGCGCATTCACACAATCGCCCAGACCCCGACCACCCCATCAGATACCAGGATTTCGACGCTTGGAATTCGCCTGGCTGTCCTAGCTAGAGCCCCCACTCCATGCTTCCCCTTAACGCCCGGAATAGAAGCCCCTTTTTATCCCCGGCCCTCACTTACCCGGCAACGCCCAACGCAGTGACCAGACACAGCGGCTCCTCGCAGACCCCAGCCGATTTGAAACTCCGCGCGGCTCCGCCCGGCCCTGTACTCATAGATGATTGGCTCCATCCCTGCGGCCTCCGCTGTTGCTGGCATCTGATTGGTGCTTTTCTCTCGGCGGTAAATTCTCCTCTGGGATTGGCCCGGGCCCCCCCATTCCTCCCTCTGGACCCCTGCCTGGCTTCTTGCAGGAGGTGCAGCCTGCGCCTCCTCCTGATGCTCTGGTCCCAGGCCGCGGCGCCCAGCCCGGTGGCACGCTTGGGCACTTCCCTAGAGCTTGCACGGGGTCTTGGCTGGTCGGCCGGATCGCCCCAGAGGCGGGGTCCCAGCACCGAGAAGAGCGCCTCGCTGCTCCGCTCCCGGCCCTCAGCCCCTCCCATCCTTCCCGAAGGACCGCCTTTCCTTTGTCTCCGAATGGTTTTGTCAGAAAGAGCTCTGAGGGGAGAGTGGTATGGAGTCCTTGTTCCCAGGAAGGTTTTGCTTCAAATTTCCCTTAGGACTCTCTCCTTTCCCGAGACAAGGCACAGGCCTCTCTGCGTCCCCCAAACTCATATCCCACTCTGCCCCACAAAAGATACATCCTGCAAGAGGGGCAGACCGCAGCGTACCTCCCTGCCTTCTTCCGCCCAGGCCTGCTCCTCAGGCCTCTGCCTGGTCCTCCCCATCCTTCCTTCTTCCCTTTAGTATCCCCACACGTCACTCTATAAAGCCGTCCTCAACTTACTCGGGTCTTTTACACGATCTCGAAGCAGCACCCCCCTTCCCCAGGCTGGGGGGAAGGGCCTTCAGCCCTCTTCACATCTAGGTGGTCTCAGCCACTCCTTTAGCCTTGGTAATCACTGCCCTCTACCCCGGGTTGTATGTGGCACTTGTATGCACCAGGGACATGGTCCAAGCATTTGATATGTATTCATGAGCACATCCTCATTGCAACCTATGGCTTGATGGGGGAGACAGGTACAGAGAGGTTAGATTGGGCCAAGGAGTCAACTTCCATCAGTCTAGGGCCGGGGCCCATGTGCCCAAGTGCCCTGCCACACTCCTCAACCTCTGCCTCCAGCCTGGACTGCCCGCCTGACACCTACAGCCAGCTACCTTTTCAGTGCTGCAGGTGCCACAAGCCAACATACCCCAGCCAAAGTCACTCTGGGCTTCCGGATTCTCCTCTTTCTCCCTTATATTCTGTCTTTCAAGCTTTTCCAAATGGTGTAAACTGAGAGCCTGTACTTTTTTAAGCACTGTGCTAAAAATGGGCCACGAAGGTCAACTAAAATCCCCATGGGGCTCTGATTCAGTGTGTGGAAAGAGAGGGACATTTTCACATCAAATAACCAATATCCAATTAATCAAAGAACCACACAATATATGTTATCTAAGGAAGGGCCTGGGATTTAGCTCAGTGGCACCACATCTGTCTAGCAAGTGCAAGGTCCTGAGCTTGATGCCTGATACTGGAAAACAAAAACAAAAACAAAATATGCTATTTAAAGCTGAGAGCTAGAGAACGAGTTAACTAGGCAAAAAATGTGTGTCTGTGCGGTCTTCTTGGCACAGGACACAAAGTATTCAAGGGGACCAGTGTTCGTTTTAAGAGACCTAGCACACACACACGCACACACACACACACACACACACACATGTGGATGGAAACAAAAGCTTCATGAAATCATTCTTGACTAAGATTTTATTTTCTACTTGAGTTTTAAAAACCAAAAGTTATTTCCATAAAGAAGGATAAACTTGAGTCATTTGTAGAAAAGTGGATGCATCTTGAGACCATAATGTTAAGAAAAATAAATCATACAAGCTTAAAAATTCCAAAGTTTCTCTTATAAGAGATAATATAGGGCTGGGGATTTAGCTCAGTGGTTTTGCCACCTGCTGAGCAAGTGCAAGGACCTGAGTTCGATCCCCGGTACCAAAAAAAAAGAGAGAGACAATATAAATAAAGAGCAAAATAAAAGATAGATAATAGGAAATAGAGAGACAGATCTTTGGCACTTGGGAAGGGGCCAAGAGATGGGGCGAGGTAGTGAGAGAGGGAGGGGAAGAGGATGAAAACCAGACTTAAGATGTGCCAGGCACATGTACCAACTCCCCATGGGGAATGCGATCGCTCTGTACTACAAATATGTGCTAATAAAAAAAGACTGAAAAACCCCTGAGAAACTCCTTGCTTCCTTTTACTCTGGTCACTACTGAGTGTGGGCTGTGGTTTGAAAAATCTCTAATTTCACTCACTTTGTCCTTTCAGTGGGGTTGTTTACCCGGTGTCAGAAATGCTTCTTCCCAAACTTGTTTATGCCAGTTGTATTTGTGATTGTCCCTAAGGAATGAAGTACAATAAAATAGCAGGAGGAAAGAAAATTGTTTTTGTGGAGACCAAATTCAAAGTGTGAGAAAGACTCAAGGTTGGTGAACCTCTTGGAATCAAAATCTCCCAATCGGAGTGCCTTGTCCTGGTTGCCTCTCCAGTGCCTGTCACGCTATCTGTCATGTCACAGGAACCCATAATAATAGCTGGTATTTTTTGAGCCCTGACCATGTGTCAGATGCTCAGCTGAGTGCTTTTACATTCTTTTTTTCTCCCTTAATCCCCGTGATAGCACTAGAAAGTAGGTACTATTTTTATTTCCATTACAGATCACAAAACTGGAGATTCAGACAGGGGAAGTATCTTGTCCAAGAATGTACAGAATGTCAGAGCTGGAACCTGAATCCTGGATGTCTGACTCCAAAACCTCCATTCTTCATCTTGGATTACACCTCCTTGTCTGGAACGCATGCAGGCGTGCACAAAGAGCCCTCCCTGCCGGCAGCTTTCCACCCTCTTGCCTCTCAGAATGCTAACTGGCAGACCAGGTTAATGAAGAGCAGTCTCCATGGCAACGAGAGAAGGCCGAAGAAGTATTTTCTTCTGAATGAGAAGCCTTTTCCTTGCCCTTGCGTGTGAAGTGGCTCCAGGGTGGTGGGGAGGATCTAGACAGGTGCAGCTTTTCTGTGAGAGGCAGGTGCTGGGGCCTCTGCTCTTAGTGAGGAGGAAAACCCAGCCTGGCCTCTGCTGGGGAGGGGGTGGAGGAAGAGCTGCAGTCCTGCCCTGCCCAGGGCTGCTTCTCCAACAAAGCTCTCACTGGTCTCCTTGACCCCCTGGAACTGTTAGTCTGATGGAAGAAACAGACACGAACCATTACTATAAACAGTTAAGACCATGCACAAGGCCAGGAATGGGAAGAATGGGGGAAATGGGGAGGCGTAAGGGGAAGGGGAGCCTCACCTGGGCTGGACGTCAGGGCAACTTTCCCCAGGTAGGTGGCGCCTTAGGGGAGAAGTGAAGAGGCTAACGTCAGGAGTCTGGAGCGTTGTGCATTTCACTGAAACACAGACGGCCAGCAGAACACAGGTCAAATTCCTACTCATTAAAAACATGATTTCTGTTTTCTGAGGGAGTCAGGGACTTGAAAACTGATTTTGTTAAAAAAAAAGAATCTTCACCTGGGCCTACAGATGCCCGGCAGGTAACTGAAAACAGAACAAAGCTGTCCCAAGTAGAAGCAATCATCTCACGGAGAGCTGATTGACTGATAACCACCCTGGAAGCCATGCTAGACAACCGGAGCTGAGATCACACTCACCTAGACCCTGGCCCACCCCAGCAAATCCATGAAAGCTTGGTCCTGCTCCTTTGTTAAGGGACCAGTCTGCTCCTGACCATCAGAGCGCTGGCCCTCTGACTCCTCAAGCTGAGGTCCTCTCCTTATTCTTCCTTACTTTCTAACCCTGCCTAACAAATCAGCTATGTCTGTCATGATTTGTCCTGAAATGTTTTTCTGTGACAAAGTGAAAAACCTGCTTGGCCAAGTTGAAGTCCCCATTTCCTGGTTAGGGGGGACGTATTTGGACTGAATGGGTGACTCCAGGATTGGACAAAGGCTGAGAAAAATAGAGCTCAAAAGCTGGGTGTGGTGGTGTGCGTTTGTAATTGCAGCACTCTAGAGGCTGAGGCAGGAGGATTGCCGTGAGTTCAAGGCCAGCCTGGGCTACATAGCAGAAAAAGAAAAAATAGAGTGCCGGGCCAGGGCAGAGGTCACGGGTAGAAGTTTGGAGGCCAGGGAAGTTTAGAATGCATCCTTGGAGTGGTGGGAAATCTTTGCTGAATTTGAAGAAGGCAGCTGATTATTAGATTTGCTTTTGAAAAAGTCCTTGAGGAGATTGGCTTAGGAGCTGGGGGCTGCCAGGGGTCACTCTGAGGCAGCAGACTCTTTCTCAGCAGTGAGCAGAAGCCCTGTCCTCAGCATCCCCCACTCCTCACCCGCATGCCCTGTGACCTCCCCAAATCCAGGCCAAAGCTGCGAGTTCCTCCTCTTAAATACTGATTGCTGCAGTTCACATGTGCCTTCTGCAAAGGGAAGTGGTGCATAAAAAAGAAACGAATCATATCTAAGCACTGCGAGACGAAATGTGGTTAGGTCCTTTTTTTCTCATTGTGAATTAGATCAGGATTGAAAAATGCCCCAAACACACTCTCATATAATGAATCCTTGTAAAGCAAACATACATGTAACCATCCCCTAGGTCAATGATGGTGAACCTTTTAGAGCTTTCAGTGATACAAACGGCCAGTTGTGGCACACGTGCCATGGCTTTGCCACCACAGCCCAAATCATGGTGAGCATTGTCAGGACCCAGAAACAACCTCCTGCCCCTGCTGTGTGTGCTCCTCTCCTGACAGACCTTAATGGGAACTGCTGTTACTTTCCCTTGAGGTTTTCCTCACCCCCCATTTCCCACCCATACACACAGATCCCTTTAGGTGGCTGGGTGGCTGCAGAAAGGATGCAAATGAAGAGGGAAAGGCTCTCCACGTTCAGCCTCAGCGCTTGCCCCCTAGCAGGGATGGAGACTGCCCTCAGGGGTCTGAGCACTCAGGGGGTTTTCCCAGAGCCTCAGGCTGGGTTCTCAGCACCAACCAGTTGGCCCAGTTGGTGTCCTCCAAGCCAGAGGCTGTAATGGGAGTCAAGACTTTCACAGCGCTGGATTTCCGGGTCCCATTGACTTCTCCAGGGCTCTCTGCTTCCTGGAGAGGGAGGCAGGACGGGTGGATTTTCGCATCTCAGTCTGCAGAGTGAAGTTAGGATGGGAGACGTCCAAGACCACAGGCCAGTACAAGAGGTGGGGAGTCAGCCCTTTAATTACAGCTTGTCTTGGGTCCCAGTCAGCTCTTAGGTCTCCCTGCCGCAGGTACCGCCTGTCTTCTCTTTTAACCAGTCAACCTTAACCCCAGAAGATACTATTTTGTGGGGCTCACCATCCTCCACCATCTGGGGGTTGTGGAGAACCAAAGCGTAAGAT